TCATGCAAACACGTCTTTGATAGAGATAAGATTTCATTCCATTGATGAATATTAGAAGAAAAGATTTTCAAATATTTCTATTTTATTTCAAGGAAACAAAAAAAACTATAAACTTATTTCTTTGAATATTCATTTCAGTTATTTTTTTTTTGTTCGATTTGAAAGAGATTTTTTCAACATTTAATAAAATGAACATGTACTAAAATATCTCATTTATTTATATTTCATCTCAAATCAAATTTATTCATCTTAAAACAAACAAATACCATTTTTTCTTTTGTTCATCTTCCTTCATTTAAATTTATTTGAGTCGAAAAACTTTCCAACAAAACAAAAAGCTTAGTTCTATAGTTATTTGGGTTTGTTTTCCTTATTCTAATTCATTCACTAATCAGATAAATTTTTTCCATCTAATGTAAGATAGCAACGAGATGTCATCGTTTGCCTGATATGTAATTACTGTTTGTTCTAACAAAGAATAGGGATGAAAAAATAGCAGTCACTCGCTTAACCGATTCACATTAGTCACTTTTTTCGTTCTGTCACTGATATACGTTACTTATTGGAGAGAATTATATATTCGTTCATCTTGAGATGCAATAGAACGAAAGAAAAGAAATATACGAATTTTTGGTTCTATGGAAAACGTCCATCGGTGGCAGAACGAAAAAAGTGACTAATATGAGTGAATGAATGACTGCTATTTCTTCCATTCTTATCGAATAGTTAGTCAGCTTTAGTGTATTCATTAGTCAGAAACGATGGAGAGAGAAAAAAATTCATGTGTGTTTGTTCATCTAATAGAGGTTTCACTGTAAATATTTTATTTCAATAAAATTGTTTGAAATCGAAAAACTCTTTCATCTTGATCAAAACTATTTAATTTCAAACAATCCGAATCAAAAAAATTTTCTTTTTGTTTGGTGAAAAAAATATTTAAAAAAAAACAACTTTTCCATATTTTTAAGAGACATTTTCTGTTAATTTAATATGAAGAAGATATTTGAACAAATAGAACGAAAGAAAATCATTTGAAGTTCAGAGAGATTTCATCTAGATTTCTTTTCATTTCAATTCGTTTATCTTGTTTTTCTAGTATCAGTTCCTTTCCTTGTTGATGATAAGAATACCGAATGGAAACAAAATGCAATCACCATTGCTGGAGGAAAGGGAGAAAGTGCTCAATTCAATCAACTCTCGCGTCCTCATGGTATCTATGTTGATGATGATAATCAAAGGATTTATATTGCTGACACGTTGAATCATCGTGTTGTTGAATGGAAATATGGCGCCGAAAATGGTCAAGTGGTTGCTGGTGGAAATGGAGAAGGAAATCGAATGAATCAATTGAGCAGACCATCAACTGTAATTGTTGATAAAAGGAATGACTCTCTCATAATTTGTGATCGAGATAACAGACGAGTAGTACGATGGTCTCGTCAAAATGGTACAACTGGGCAAACAATCATTTCTAACATTGATTGTTCGCGTCTCACAATGGATAATAATGGAGATCTTTATGTTTCTGATTGGAAGAAGGATGAAGTAAGACAATGGAAAATAGGAGATACAAATGGAACAATCGTAGCTGGTGGAAATGGAAAAGGAAATCATCTGGATCAACTCTATTCTCCTCGTCATATCTTTGTCGATGAAGATCATTCAGTTTATGTGTCAGATTATAACAATCATCGTGTAATGAAATGGGTGAAAGGTGCAAAAGAAGGGATCGTTGTTGCTGGTGGACAAGATCAAGGGAATAGTTTGGCACAATTGTCTCGTCCCGAGGGAGTGATTGTTGATCAATTGGGTCATGTTTATGTGGCTGACTTTGAGAATCATCGAATCATGCGTTGGCCAAAAGGATCTAAAGAAGGTTCTATTGTTGTTGGTGGAAATGGAAAAGGAGAACAAGCAAATCAGTTCAATTGTCCCAATGGTTTATCATTCGATCAACAAGGTAATCTCTATGTCGTCGATCAAGGCAATCATCGAGTACAAAAATTCAATATTAATTTAAATTGAAATTGATTGTTGAGATAAAATGGTTTTCAATGAACAATGAGGTTTTTTGTGAAAGATTGTTTTAATTTTACTTAAAAATAAATTAAATTAAAGAATGAAAGGAAAACTCATCTGAAAAAGATAAATAATTTGGGTGTGGGTGTGGGTGTGGGGTGTGGGGTATGGGCGTAGGTGTGGGATGTGAGTGTAGGTGTAGGTGTGGGTGTGGGTGTGGGTGTGGGATGTGAGTGTAGGTGTGGGTGTGAGTGTCGGTGTGAGTATGGGGTGTCGGGTATTGGCGTGGGTGTGGGTGTGTGGGTCTGAGTGTGGGGTGTGAGTGTAGGTATGGGTGTGGGTGTGTTTCTGTAGTATTAATTCACACCCACACCGGCACTCCACATCGACACCCCACACACACCCCACACTCAGACCCACACCCACACTCACACCCTCACACCACACCCACATACCCACACTTACACCCCACAACCAGACCCACACCCTCAAGTAGCTCAAACTCGGTTTTTCACAGATACAAAAATGGATCAAAATTTAATAGTAAAGGTCACTTTTGTCCTCAATCTTGAATCTGTTTTGCTTAATATTTTTTGCACGAGGAATTGTGATAAGTCTTTTCTATCTGAAATAATTTTCATTATTATTGAGCTTACTGTTGCTGAAATATGAACGTGCAAAAGTTTCTTTTCAGCGCTTCTCGAACTTTATTAGGTTTTCGGACGAGATGTAAAATAAATAAAATAAAAACTATATAATTCGATAGAGTAATTGATGCTCTACCCAACTATATCAAAATAAAAAATCTCCGATGTTTTACATAAATACAAGAAACTGCACAAAACTATCAAAAATAACGTAATCAAGCTGTATGAAACATCGAAGTCACAATAAATATTATAATTTTCCTTCTAGTTTACTATGTAATTTTGTGTTTGGTTGTGCCGATTTGAAATCCAATGGTTCGAGTATCATCAAATTTACCTTCTGCTCTTGTGTACAATCTGAGCGGTTCATAAATCACTTGGTGACTGTGTTCAAGTCCAAGATCACATCTAAAACTGACGTTCTCAAATGATACATAGATCTCTGAAGTCCGATAATGACTATTTCAGTAAATTTTTGACACGTGTAATCCGGCTAATAGATGTCATAATAGTTAGCAGAACATGGAAATCTCGACTAAAATGAACTTTTAGTTCCCGACATGTTTGCTGTCTGTGAAACATTCGCTTGTTATCACTATTCTACAAAAATGAATTTCATTGAAAACTCAATAATTCTATAAAAGGATTTTCGTTTCACTCGAAAGTTTCAGATTATGTGAGAATTCATGTGACCTATGTATGTCTGGGCGATATCACAGATCGAAATTCTATTGCTTCGATTTTCATAATATAACTTGATATAGATCAGATTGTCAATAGGACGAGCATGAATTCATGCTTGAAATTCATCGATGTAACCATTCTCTGTTTTTTCTACTCTCATCGAGACTTCCATTTAAATCCGATGAGCTTCATAGTGGAAAATATCGTGGTTAATAGTTCTATCTCATAAGCAACCTGATGGAACGGACTTTCTGTTTTTTCCTTGAAAAAGATCGAAAACCAATTAAACACAACCATTACTGTTTGCCAAATAAATTCTAGATAAGTTGAAAGGGAAAGAGTAAAACTTCGTTTGATAATACTTTTGATTAGGCAACGAAGACTCAACTGCTATGCTACTAAATCTAATAATATTTATTAATTAGTCGAGAAAGATAACTTTGCCTACGTAATATAATCTTCAAGAATTTTAAGGCTATGTTTCAATTCTAGCGATACCTTCAGTCTGTATTATATTCTCAGATGTCCTTTCAAGTAAACTAATCTTGAAAGACGGAGTGAAGCGATAATCAATAATGCTCCTAGTAAGTATCCAGACGAACATATCTATCACTTCTATACTACTTGCACGTCCGTTGTACATGTCTCCTGGCTTCTTTGCACTGTTAAAATCATTCTTGTGCATACATATTATGCATTGGTTTATTTTTGGCTTGATTAATAGATTGTTTTTTAATACATAAATAGAATATTGTCAATAAATCTCATGCTTTTCTCAATTAAAATTACCGTGCGGTCATTTATATGACGTAATAGTAATTTCAATATTTACTAAATCCTTACGCAACGAATTGTCAATCGGCTAAAAATTAACTGCAACAACTATTATGTATTAAAATTTTCTTGTTTCATGAATGAGTCATATCTAAAAGAAAATGTGAACACTTTCTGCTATGGAGAAGAAGAAAAGATTCTTTGTGAGAAAAGAACGAGCTGATTACATTTTTTATTGCATTTGTTCTTCTCTAGATCACGAATAACTGATTCTAGTTACGTCTAGTTTTTCATTTCGTTTACCTTTACCTTAATCGTCACAACAATAAGAGATTGAAATTCTGCAAAAGAATCAAAACAAAATTTATATAGAACTCATTTTTAATATGATGATAAAATCTAAAAATTTGTATCACTTCTTATAAAATTCTTGAACAAATATCGACGATGATGAATATGTATCGGCTGTCATAAATTTTACATGTGAATCGTTAGGTATATATTATTGTATTAAATATTGAATGAATTCAATTGAAGTTGATTTCAAATCAAATGTTTGGATTGTTTTAGCTATCTCAGTAGGACTACGTTTATTAAAAACCATAATAATACCAAGAAACATAAAAAAGAACGACCCATTATTGAACAAACAGACTATTTTTTTCTTTCGAAGCTCTGGAAAATAATTGCTTTCTATTCTTCTTGATAAACTTATGCGATGTCTAGGAGTGTATCTTATCGACCTATCATTTAGTGATGACGATGTGTAATTGTGTGCTATACTGTACCTATTTTATTTACAGAAGAAAGCCACAGGCGTAAGAACGAACCGGTAGTAATGAAAAAGTCGCAGTAAAATATATTGATTCGATTAGATCTAAAATAGATGATTAGTGGCGATGAATGTTTACCACTAAGCAGGTAACCATGATGTTCCAAAACCTGATGCTGGACCAAATTGAAAAGTAAAATGATTAGGATTTTTAAGAAGACTTTTCTGCTTATAGCAATAACGGATGCCTCGAGCTAATGAATCGTAAGTCATCACTTGAAAAAGAAAACAAAATGATAATAGAGTTTTGAATTACTGATGCATAAAAATCGAATGAATATACCTGATTTGGACTTGCGACCCTTGACAATCTGCCATACTTTGGCGACAGCTTCTCCATCATAGAGTTTAAAAATGCCTTGCTTTTTGTCAACATACGCAGCAATATGAACATAATCTTTATTATCCAGCAATCGTCGAAAAAATTGATGTAATAATTTTGGTCGACATCGTTGTCCACTGGATTCATCTATAAAAAACCATTCATCTAGATTTATATATCCCAATTCAGTTGATTTTCGATCTTGACATTTCTTTCGCGATTTTTTTGTGGAAACTGGCAAAGTTGATGGATCATAATCGAATGTAAGTTGTGCATTAATATCAGGTATCATGTGGTTTGTTACAGTTGATCCAAAAGTAACATCTGGATAAAGGTTTTCTTCAAAATCTATGCCAATGATTGGGTCCTGATTTCTCTGTTGATATTCAGCAAATTGCGTTTCAACCTGAAGATCAACTGCGATGGAATCAAATTCTGGCTGGTCTGTTAGACGATCAATGTGGAGCAATGTTGATAGCGACATTGAAGCATCTCCAAGGAACGTTGTTAGAGGATCATTCAGTTGTGTTCCTAATGGTGGTTGTTGATCTAACCATGTAACAAGATCATCTATACTTTCAAGCGCTTTTTCTTCATGTGAACCTGTCCGACCAACGTATCCATCGAACACATTCAAGGAAAAGAGACTATTTGGCAATTGATTCATGTTAAAGATGGTTATCGTGCTTGATATATTTGATTACGAATGAAAGCAAGGATTATATAAGCATATACTTATATAAATATACAGGTAAAATATTTTTGCCTTTTTTCGTTTCTGCTTACCTGTAAAAAAAAATAACAAAGTCACATGTTTGAAGTAGCAGTACTGTTTTAGTTTCTTTTTTTTTCAAGTATTGAAAATAGAACATAACAAAAAAAAACAATTCTCTCTCGATTTCTTCATGACAAATAAAATCAGATAGTTAAACTTAACACTATACTATTTGCTAACATGGTAGAATAAATTTATCGAATTAAAAACAGTAAAACTACAAAAAATGTAACGAAGCAACTCCTACTTGGTGATATTAGGATATTTGTTTCTTTTACATTATATTACACGAATAAAATATCAACATCTTCAATCTTTTCATTCTTTTGCAGTTCTTCTTAATTTCTCACAAGTTTTCTCGACCGATAAAAATATACTTCGAACAATTTCGTATAATATCAAGCTTTTGTATTTGATTGATCAAATGAAAACAAAAATTTGTTGTTCTGAAAAATATTTTTCGTTCTTTTAATGTCAATGATGTCATGAGAAAAGAACATAAAAATGATGACTCATTATTTCTATATATACCAGACTGCATCACTCATTAGTTAAAAAATGAAATTACCAGTTTAAGGCCCCCCCCCCCCCCCCATTCAGAAACGAACTTTGGTATTTTTCATCCGATTTGAGTGTGGGTGTAGGTGTAAATGTAGTAATAACGAGTCACACCTACACCCACCTCCCACAACCCGCCGATCAGAGACCTGTATTGCCTTCATGAATAGTGAAGCAGATGTGGCCATATTCGTAATCACACGAGACAAAACGCTAAAAACCTAAGAGAAGCGATTTGATTGTTGATGAGCACATGAGCGATTCTATTCTAGTAAGTATTTATTTACTAATCGATAACAGTTTTCATAATTTACATAATGATGAATCTTTGAAACTAAGAAATTCTAAGAATATAAATCTGTGCTTGTTGTCGAGTCTTTATTAGCGTATGATTGGATATCATACTTGAATTAAGCATCAGAAACTGACTAATTCCAGTAAATTTATGCTAGATTTATGAACACTGTTCTTTCTTTAAAAAATGTAACTCTAGTTTCTGTTAAGTTTAACCAAAAAAAGAAAGTTTCAGCACGACACTATTTTTATTAGATATTTATTCATAGTTGTTAGTTCTAACATTATTTTTTCAAGGTTTGAATGAAGACTTCATTGTTCATATGAGATTTTAGTAGAATTAACATTCAAATAAATCCTATGAGGAACTAGAGAAAACTTTTTCAACAATAAAAATAAGTTCATAAAAATATTTTGAACATCCATGAATGAATAAGTTGACATTTTATTACTAACTCCAAACATGATATTAGTTTTGATTAAAATTCTAATTATTCTGATCAAAATTTAAACAATACTCGTCCAAAAAGCATAAAATTATGTTTTCTAGTATACTATGCTTAAGATTTCTTAGACAAAGTTCATATGCGGTGTTTGTCTAAATAGTAGATCATTTCTAGTCAAACGGTCCTTCCCATCCATGGGATTGAATTTAATAAATATTCTAATAGGAATTTTAAAAACTATTTATTTTTTTTACAAAAAATCATCACTGATCTTTCTTCTTTTCATCACCATGTTCATGCTGAAATTAATGATCATTATGATGCAGATGAACATTGATTAACATTTCAAGAAGAAGGCTTGACTTTATTGATGTAGTTCTAAAAATTTCTTTTTTTGTGTTTTAATTTTAGAAGAAAAAAGAAATTTAAAGTGAAACAAAACAAACATTATAATGAATTTCGTGTTGTCCATTTAGCAAACAAACAAGATAAACAATGGTTTAATTCCTTTCTCTAATAATAGTAACTATTCTTCTATTGATTACCTATATACTATTCATCATAATCAAATCAAGTTTAAGCAAAATGAATGGAGTTCTTTTTTTTTCTTTAATGATATGCTCGAATCTTTGATTTTCCTATTGAAAGATCTCCAGTCTAAAATAATTTTTGGATGATAACCAATGGAAAAGCTTTACAGCGGAGATGCAAACGATGAATCTCATTGTTCTTCTACCGTAACGATACATAGATCGTTAGTTTTTAAAATGTAGAGGATCTTCGAATTTTTAACTTCGTTCTGAGACAAAACGAATTAAATTTAAGAGATCAGATATGCTTTGAGTTGGTGTTCGATTTTCAAGTAAATTTTGTACTTGGTTTTTAATCCCTTGCTTGATTCACATCTTAAGCGATACGGATATAAGACTGAAATACGATCGATAATATTCTTTTATTATAAGAAAGCAAATAACATTATCATTTTTGAAGTAAAATTGGCAATTGCAATGATGTGAAGTAGCTTATAGGGTTTACTCTTCTTTCAATTTCTTACAAATATGCACTGTTGATCAAAGTCTTGTTGTTTAAATCATTGATGAATATTACTAATACAGAAAAACATTAGCAGTCATACTCACTTTTATGATGAAAATCGATGATGAAGTTCGTAATTGGCACAAAACTAACATTTTTCAATTATAGCCATGAGATTTAAATAAAAATCGGAAAATAAATCTTCCTCACTCTTTCTTCAAATAGACAAGTCAGAGAGAAATGATAGAAATAAACAATGTAAATAATGATGTATCGAATGGAATGTGATATTGAAATAATATATCCACAAATATACTCTTAATAGAAACTTTGTTTAAGTCACTGAAAATCAGAATAGCAAAGTCTTGATTTCAAATTTTATATTCAGTTTGAAATATCTTGAAAGGGTGTGGGTGCGGGTGTGTGGGGTGTGGGTGTGGGTGTGGGTAGAGATTCACACACTCACATCCACACCCCACACCCTGGTCATTTGTGCCATAAAAATGGTCGTTTGTGTCACAGAAATGGTCATTTGTGCCACGGAAATGGTCATTTATGCCATAAAAATGGCCATTTGCGCCACAGAAATGGACATTTGTGCCATGGAAACGGTCATTTGTAGCACGAAAATGGTCATTTATGCCATAGAAATGGTCATTTGTGCCATAAAAATGGTCATTTGTGCCACCAAAATGGTCACTTGCGTCATAGAAATGGTCATATATGCCACAGATATGGTCATTTGTACCATAAAAATGGACATTTGTGCCACGTCTTTGTTACAGACAGACGGACAGACAGACACAGGTGAATTACGGTTTCTAGACCATATCCCTTCAGTTTAGGGAATAACTATCCCAGATAGCGAAAAAAGGCCAGGAAACTGACGGTAGATATCTTCTAGGTGTCTACCTCGATTCCTAGGAACTGTCAGCAGAACTGTCATAATTCCTCAGTTCTTCGGCGTGTCCTTAGGTGTTTTTGGCAATTCTCCTAGTCAGGATCCTTACTATGGGATTTAAATCATGATGGCTAATGTCAGTGTCAGGTTCTCCGATGGATATTGACGAGCAGTAGTAGTTATTTGCTCGGGTCCTTGTCTGAGGGATTGTCAGTGGTCGATTTCCACGGGGAGGAGTTGAGGAAATGAGAAGTTATCGAGGTTCGGAACTGGTGTCATATTCAATTGAGATTTATTCATCAGGAGGAATCGATGGAGAAACTGACAAGGTTTTGTGAGGTGTTTGAGGGTCAGTTCTCAGTTCCTCGGGAGATTCGTCACTTTTAGCTGGTGTTTTTAGGAATTGAGAGAATTTCCAAACCTCAGTCCTTGGACACTGCTGATCGCGTCTCAGAAGAACGCGTTTTTCCAAATAAGAATGCATTAGTATTTTTTGAAGAAAAAATAGCAATCAACGTTCAAGTCTATCATGGCCTTGAACGCGTCTCTTCGCTGATTCGTACAAAGTCTTCGAGAACTCGCTCGTCTAACAGTCTACTTTCGTTTTCATAGAACGCGTTCCAAGTAGCTTTTCTTATTACTATAGTGTGGATTCGATCAGATGAACTTGTAATTTCGAAGCAGTGATCATACTATTAGACCAAACTTACGTATTGCTGAAATGCTAAATTTTCTACTTCAATGTAAAAAAAACTGATGTGTTTAGCGTTCCTACACGAGCTTTGCACGTAGAGTAGAAATAGATATCGAAGTCGATTTCAAATACAAGCGCGATTAGTAAATGTGAGAAAGACACTACTATAAATTTTGCAATATATTTTTTTTCAATAATTACAATAGATCGAAAGTTTTGCAATTTGTATTTTATGAATATAAAAAAAGTCAAGATTAGAGGACGGATATAACCCAGGGAATAAAAAAATAAAAAGAATACCATTAAAATGATGGAATGGACATTGCTTTTTATGGTTTTCAATTTCATCGATGACAAAGGATACTTTCATTAAAATAACGCCATAACTTTGATTAAAAATCAAATTCATGCAATGTCTTCTATAAAAATACTTATTTTCATTGATAAAATTGAAAAACATAAAAAATAATGTCCGTTTCATCATCATAAATGCCATTTTTTCATGTTTTTGCTGTAAAATTCACGAAAGTCATGCCATTTTTTCATTTTTCAAGTGCCTGGAAAATAAAAACATTCTCTCAAAAAAGCTTGCCTGACAGCACTTCTGAAGCGAAAATGTGAGACCCCCACATGTCCGTTAGTCTGATTCAAGTAACACAAAATACGTCAAGTAAAAATTTTCCTGTAAACTATAGTTGCTTTACAAGACATTCAATTACCGAAATAATGACCCAACCTATTTATCTCTACACTTTCAAAAGAAGTTTCTTTCTTTTTTATAGTTGTTCTACTTTTTGTTTGCGTTGCTGCTATTCGCTCTTTAGTTTTCACTTTCGTGTTTCGTTTTTTTTAAGATTATTATTGTTATGAATAGTGAATTAAACGGATAATAAGGCTGTTCTATATATTTTTTTCGAGAAAATTAGAATCGAGAAAAATTTTAAATTTTCCTAGAACAAATTGAAATTCAAGTTTTTTGTGCAGAAATATTTAAAACTCTCTGGAAGTAGAAAATTAATTTTCAATTATTCTTTAGTAATTGTTGAATTTTGCTGAATTTTTATTTGTCCTGTAAAATATCCATTAGATTCACAGTAGCGGAAGTTATTCTACTATCTTGTCTCGATCAGCTCACAAACACTGAAATTCATTATTTATTCAAGTTACACCTAGATCAATTCGTTCACCTCGCTCCATATTCAAAAATCAATTGAAGTCGATTATGAACGTGCTAACACTGAACAAAAGAAACGTGTTCTTGAACTGTGCGAACGCGTTCTTTTTTAAACGTTTTGATACGTTCTGAAGATGAACGCCCTTTGATTACATGAACGAAATATTCTTGAATGAGTTGCAACGAGCTTTCAGAAAGAGCGTTCTAATGGATTTGAAACTCATTCGGTACTAACGCGCTGATCATCGTAAGAAACGCGTTTCTTATCGGCAAATACGCGTTCAAACGCGTTTCAACTCTTCAATTTCTTCAAACAACGCGTTCTGGGACTGTAAACTGCGTTCCAAATTTACAAAAACGCATTCTTACTCATTTCTGTCTATGAATACTTTTCCGTGGATATGCTTTCTATGAACATGGCTTTACAAAGAATAGAAAAGGTTCACATAATATTTCTATTGCTACTATTTGAGTTTATTCCAGTACTAATTCAATATTACAAAGGAAATATTGCTTCTGTCTACGAGTTCATATATATCAACTATTTCCTTGTCTTTTTCTTCTCCTTTATATATCTGCAAGCGAGAGGAGAGATAAAACAAAACAAAGTAAGGCTATAGGAAAGGCGAACAAATAGTCATCATTTATCATTAAGCGGGTCAAAGGTGAAGCGGTCATTTTATAGCGTGACCCGATCATTGGTACAGTTATATTCGCTTAGTTACACAGTCGCACCTATTTTTTGTCCATTTCATATACAATTTTGACCGCTTGACCCGTCACCATCTTTTTTGTTTAGCTATTGTCAGCTTCGATGCTATTTCTGCATTTGAATCGAAATAACTTGTCAGAATATACCTAAACTATGCACAACGCCATTTTTATCAAAATCATTCTCTCGTCAAGTTTCGTCTAGGTATTTTTGTTTAAATTATGACATCTATAGTTCATATACAAGAATTCATCATTACATTGTCTACTTGTTTAAAAAAAAGATCCTATTCTTTTATTCAGATATTTTGACGCCTTCAATGAAGACTATCATCGATGTTGCCGTTTCTCTGCTGGTCGTGCTTTGTTCCGCTACTGTAAAATCCAGCAATTCAACAATCTCATGTCTTTCGTGCAAGACTTATCCTTATGACAACATAACCAGCGATCTAGCAGAGCATATGTATGATTGTGAGATGCAAGAGAGTGACCAATGTCATGGTGGACTTTCTGTGACCTATACAAACCAAGGGCAAAAAATCATTCCTACCTTCCTTGCTAGTTCAGCTCGCTTAAGTGATTTAGATGATCTTAATGACTCAGTAGGCGAAATTTTATCCATTTCATTTAATAAATTTTATGTAAAACACGCAATGGTTGTTGACTGCTCGGAATCATCAAATTGTTCGCTTCATCACGTGGAAGTCTTCAATGAAAAAAGTGAGTCAAGTTTTTGTTGAACAGATTGCCTGCATTACTGTCCAATCTTTTGCACAAAAGTATAATGCTTGACTGAAATATCGCACTTACATTGTGCTCAAACTTGTTCAGTATCAAACTATCGATTTTTTTAAACTTTCAAAAATTCGATGCTAACTAACAATTATTTTGTTATCGTTTTTATATTTAGTTTCTTCGTTTGTTCCTATGTCACTATGGGAAACATTGTCTGATCTATTATATTCTTCAACATCTGTTGCTGCTGATTTGGTATGTTTAGATTCATCAGATCGGTCGGTTGCTTGTCCCAATGGAGTTTGTCGTATAAGTGTGAAAATATTTAAACTTTATAATGTGCACAAAATTGATTTCACGTGTTTTCAAACAAAATCACACCGTAGACCGTATGCTTTAGAATTCTCTGAATTGCTACCGTCGTCTATATTCATGAAATTCTCTTGTAATAAACCATTATGCAATTCAAAAGAAACAACACAACGAGTATTTGAAATATTGGCAGAAGCCAATATCATCTCAAAATCAGGGATAATTCCAACACCATCTATAAATATAAGCAATGTTGTGAATTAAGAATTATGAAGTATTCGACGAACGAACTCAAGTGAAAATAAAAATTATCTGATTATTTGTTATTGCTGTTGTTTTTCTTATTTATCATGTATATGTGAATAATCAATAAAATAAAATAATTCTCTAAATTCAAACACAGTTCAACGTTCAAATTCTAATCGGCTCCACATGCTACAATTGAAGAAAATAATGCAAAGTTTAAATTTAGCTCTGTTCAAAATAAGTTATACAGATAGTAGTATTAACAATTAATACTAATTTTAGCAAAATAATACTCTATATACTAACAACAGGTCAGATCATTTTTGAAGGTATTTCTTTCGTTGTTAAATGTTGTGTATCAAAATCATATTGTTCAATTAAATAAGATACAATTACTTCATCAATATAAAATGTGTGTAGATGTTTTCATGAAAAGAAAAAACAAAAGTTGTATATTTGTACGTTTCGATATGATCAATGATCTTTTTTTGTATTGTCGCATGAATAGAAAAGAAGCAAGAAAAATATGATTTTCTATTGAATGAAAAAACAATTTCTCATTATACAATTGCAGAAAATACTTTTTTTACATTTTCATTCTAATCGATCGAATGCATGTTGACTGAGTTGTCTCAGTAAAAAAAAAACTTTTTTTTCGTGTTTTCTCTTTCCTACACTCAGTTTTTCTGAGTATATACGATCAACCATAACACGATGGACATAAGAAAATTGATAATCTGTTTGCTTTTTATTTCAATAATGTTAATTGTAAACTGTATATCCATTGCAAGCAATCAACAACGTGAAAGGAATGTCAAACTCTAAAGAATCCGTACCTTTTTCATCAAGTCACGTCGATTAGAAAAGATTTGTTTACTAATATCCTTATAAGCAAAACATCAGAATATAAATAGGAGTTCACATCCATTTCTTTTCACGGTAATTCACGTTGATATTCTCAACATAATTTCTCAGTTTTAAACTACTGAAATATTTATACTAAACCTTTCTATTATGTATCATGCATTCATAAGTATCTTAATTCTACTAAAATATTGTTTGAAATCGAATAAAATATTTGACTATAAGGATCGTATCTGTTATTCATTTATCATATGATTGCAAATAGTTTAATTCTGCTCAGTTTTGGTTTCAAATTGAACTAAGCATTTGAGTAAAATCATGATATCTGGTATTTGTCTATTATATGTTTGTGAATAATTCCATTCTACTCAAATTTTATGTCAAGTCGAACAAAATATTTGAATAAAAATATGGTATCGATTTATTGATTTATCATATGAATGTGATTGGTTTAGTTCAGCTCAAGTCTTATTCCGAATGAATGAAAATACTTGAGTAAGATCGTAATATATGTTATTTGTATATCATGTGTTTGTGAATATCTTGAGGGTTCTAACACGATTTATGACAAATGTAGTTAAAGGTTTTGAAAAAAATTATGAAATCATTCCAGAAAAATTGGGACCAGTACGTATTTAAGATTTTTTGAATATTTTTAAGTATCTGAATTCCAAAAAATTACATTGTGCATCTTAAGTCAAATATCAACAGAAAAACTCTGAAAAGCAACTCAAAATTTTACTCGATTTTGTTTCGACTCTGACAGGAATCGAGTTTGGAAGAATTTTAGAAGATTTTTCATCAACGTTTTTAAAAATTTCTATTCTATATGATATGACATTCATAGCATAGAATTCAGTTATGATATGAATTTTATTTTCACATGAAACTTGAAAATCCATTGAAATGGATACTTGAGTATTAGATTAAGTGTTGCATTAACTGTCTTTACAAAAACGTTTTTAATAAAAGACGAGTCCTCGAGTAAAAATCGCACTGGTTTCAATTTATTCGTTTCGAAAAAATCAGAAAAATACTGCTTTATTCAAATTGAAATCAACTATTCATTGTAAAATTTGAAGATAAGTAATCAATATATTAAGTTTAACATTAAATTTTTCGAATTTTTCTAGGAATAATTTGTTTATATGAAGTTCAAGTAATAATTAATAGTTTATAGAGAAGACAAGATATCGAAGGTTTAAATTAAATTAAATAACTCGGTACAGCCCACAACGGTAAACTAATCAGCTTATGAACCGAAGATCTAGAGATCAACATTGTATGCCCCTATTTCTCTTCTTTTCTGCTTAGAGAATCCTACAAAAATCATACCAAGACATCGAAATTTTCCCAATTAGAAATCATTCAAATGCCGACAAGATCTTAACAAAAAAATCTACGCGAGTGAGCTTAGGGTGTGGGTGGGTGTGGGTGTGGGTGGGTGTGGGTGTGGGTGTGGGGTGGCGGGTG